CCCAAGGCTCTGGTGGTATGGGCTCACAAGGGGATCTCCTGATCTATGAGTTGCAAAGATCCTGTGGGAGAAGCATGGTTTCCCAGGGGTCGCACATTCACTCACCACTTCCCTTGTCTGGGGGTGGGGGTTCCCTTGGCTCCCTGTTGCTCCTGGGTAGGCCATCGCCCCACCCAGCTTTTCTTCATTTTCTGTAGTTCGAGTTATTTCTCTCATCATCCCAATGCAAGTACCTAGACATTTCAGTGAAGGTGCTGCATTCACTCGCCCCTTTCATTCCTCTCCATGAGTGCCACAGACTGCAGCTCTTTTAATTGGCTATCTTGGCCCCCTTCCTGGGCCAAGATGGCCAATTAGAAACAGCTGCAGCTCTAGTTATGAGGTTTCAGTGCTGTGTAGTGTTCCATGGTATGATCGTCACGCAATTTTATTTTTTTCTTTCCATGTTGATGGAAAAGATATGGAAAAGAAAATTTAGAACATTTTAAAATTTCTCTTTATGAATACATGAACAACAATTGACATGAAATAACAATTGACATAATTGTTGTTGTAGACTTTTAAGGCCTCTCAGATATTGACAGAACAAGTTGAAATAGATAGAACAAGCTGAACTAGATAGAACAAGTTAAAAGATAACTTCTGGGGATATAAGGAATATTGATGGAGGAGACTTAAGTAATGGATTCTTAATGGCTACATGTGGCCTGGCATAAGGATCAGAATACTGAGGACCCCCAGTCACAGAATGTCTGTACCTACCCATTAAGCTTTACCTTTGGGTATTCATGGGAAGCAGAGACATAGCAGGCTGAAGGCTAAGGGGATGTCAGAAGAGGTAAAGAAGATCACTCTGAGGCCCACCCTTCATTCCACATGTGCACAGAAGCAGCTTATAGAAGGCTGGGGTTCAAGTAGGAGAGCAGTGAGATTCATCCAGATCACACAGAGCTTTGGCTGAGTACAAAACAGAGACTTGCAGAAAACTGTGGGTGGGGCAGGAGACCTGAGAGGCATCCTTCTTCACTTCAGCAGACCTTTGTAGAAAGTGCTTCAGAGGTCCACTGAAGGCTGGGGGAAGGGAATCAGGGGAGAAGGGATATACTGAGGCCCCAAACCCCAGACCAGGAGCCCAGAATTCAAAGAGAACTCAGTGACTTAGAGGGTTGGCCACTAGGCTATAAAATAGGAAGAGACTACCCTGGTTTAGAAATCTGCACACTGGGCTGTAAAGCTTAAAGGGTCCTTCAGAGTCTGACCATGCTCAGATTCTAAGCCACATTGAGCTAAAAGCCCTAATCCTGTGCTCAAATCACTTGAAGCCAGTCAAAACCATCTAACCAGATCTGCAATAAAACCCAGGCAGATCAACTACAGTTTAGATTGGTTTAGCCTTATTCCTGCCTCCTGCCGCACATGCAAACACACTGTGGAGGGACACACTGCGTATGTGAGACCAAAAGCAGGAATAAGTGTTGGCTTCTCATCAGAAGCAATGCAGGCCAGAACACAATGGAATATTTTTAAAATACTGACAGGAAAAAAAGTGTATTCACAATCATATAATATCATATCATAGGATATGACATATTAGCAAATTATCCTTCAAAATGAAGCAACATAATGGCCTTTACAGATAGACAAATGCTAACGGGTTTCCTGCAGACCTGCACTGTAGAAAACTGAAGGAAATTCTTCATGCTGAAGTGAAATGATACTTCATAAACACCTGAATCTGCAAGAAGGAATACAGAGGCAAAACTTTTCAAAAAACTGTTAAAAACTGATCTTTGTGTGCGACACAAAAGAACGAACCATTCATTTAAATGAACCATTTAAACAAACTTTAAATATTAAGACACAGATTGAAAGAATTAGAATGGAAAAGATATAACATACAAATGATAAACATAAGAAGGCTGGTGAAACTATACTGTTAGTTAAAAAATGGGTCTCAAGAATAGGAGAGTAACTAGAGATAGAGAAACTTCATTTTCTCTTTATGAATAAATAATACACGAAACAAGAATTGACAGAACTAATTACAGCTGGAAAATTTTAAGACCTTCTCTCAGAGATTGATAGAACAAGTTGAAATAAAAATCAGTAAGGATATAGGGGATTTGAACAATATTATCAACCAATGTGACCATAATTGACAATTATAAAACACCACATCCAACATTTAAATAGGTATTCTGTTCTAAAGTTGATATAAAACATTCATCATATTCAGGGTCACAAAACAAATCACAATATATTTCAAGGAACTGAAATCATACAGAATATGTTTCTGGCCACAACACTAATAAATTAGAATCAGTAACCATGAGATATCAGAAAAGTCCCAAAACAACTCAAAAAGAAAGAAAAAAAAGGGAAGGAAGGAAGGAAGGCAAGAGGGGAAGAAGAGAGAAAAAGAAGGAAAAAAAGTCAGAAGACTTACTCCATCTAGTTGTACTGTGAAGCTACAGAGTAATCAAGAGATGGTATAGTATCAGCATAAGTACCAAAACTATATCAAATAAAACAGAAATATACCCACACATCCATAATCAGCTGATATTTTTTACAAAGGTGCCAATTTAATTAAAAGGAGGAAATTAAAGTATTTTTGTAAATGGTCCTAGAAAAACTGACTAGTCACATAAAAATCCCCTGAATTTCAATCCTTGCCTCATACCATAGGATAACAAAAAATGATTCAAGATAAATTGTAATTTTATAGTGAAATTTAAAACTCTTCAACTTTCTAATTAAGACACAGAAGGATAACTGGGCAACCTTAGGATTACGTGGGTAGGTAACTAACAATTTTTTTAAAAACACAAAAAGCCTGAAACATAAAAGAAAAAATAAATTGTACTCCATCGAAATGAAAATTTTCAGTTAATCAGAAGATTCATAAAACAAAATAAATAAGCAAGCAACTAAACTGGGAGAAAATACTTGCAATAAATATATTTGACGCAGAACTTGTATATAAATTATACAAAGAACTCTTACAAATAATTAAAAGACAAACAACCCAATAAAAAAAAGAACAGACATTTAGAAAAAGAAGACCCACAAATGGCCAATGGGCATATAAATAAGTACAAATGGAAATGAAAACCACAAGGAGTTATTTTCATCTACTAGAATAACTAGCCTCAAAAAAAATATTAAATATTGATAAGAATGTGGCATCCTTGGAACTCCCATTCATTGCTGATGGGAGGATAAAGTGATTCTGCCACTTAGTTAATCAGGCAATTTCTCATAATCCTAAACACACATTTACTATGTGAAGCAGCATTCTATTTTTCTTTTTTTAAATATTTAATAAAGAGAAATAAAAATATATGTCCACAAAAGACTTGTCAAAAATCTTTAAGCAGCCTTAATCATAAAAGCTTCAAACTGGAAGCATTGTGGCCTTTAATATGGTGAAATAATACCCAGCCCATAAAAGGGAGCAAACTACTGTTACACACAACAACCATGTATGAATCACAAAAATACTATGTTGTATGAAGTAAATTAGACACAAAAGGATACACAACTGTAGGATACATTTACATGAAATCCCCAAACAAGCAAAACAAATCTACGGTGATAAAAATTATGCCTCTGGGCTGGATGCGGTGGCTCATGCCTGTAATCCCAGCATTTGGGAGGCCGAGGCGGGCGGATCACTTGAGTTCAGGAGTTCGAGACCAGACTGGCCAACATGGGGAAACCCCTTCTCTACCAAAAATGCAAAAAAAAAAAAAAAAAAAAAAAAAAAAAAAAAAAAAATAGCCAGGTGATGTGGCAGGCGCCTGTAATCCCAGCTACTCAGAAGGCTGAGGCAGGAGAATCACTTGAACTTGGGAGGTGGAGGTTACAGTGAGCCGAGATTGTGCCATTGCACTCCAGGCCTGTGGGCAACGAGAGTAAAACTCTGTCCAAAAAAGAAATTAGGCCTCTGAGAAATAGAGGGAGTTGACTGGAAAGACAATACAGAAGGTCTCTGGGTTGGTGGAAATATTTTATATCTTGTGTTGATTTTAATTACATGGATATTTATTATACAACTGTCAAAACTCATCAGACTAAACACTTAAATTCTGTATGTTTTATTATATTTTTGTTATACGTAAATTATACCTCAATAAAATTTTAATAAATTAAAACAAAACAGTGGAATGGAGTCACTCAGGCCTGTGAGGAGGCTATTGCAATAATTCAGGCAAAAGGTAAAGATTTCCTGGACTAAAGCAGTGGACATCAAGAGGGAGAAGAAGGAAGCAGGAAGCGGGAATTTATTCTCAAAGGGCTCTCTCTAAAGTCTGGGATTCGTCAGACTACAGTCAATCTGTGTCATATGAGGACCTGTGATGGAAGAGCAGAAGCCGAAAACTAATCTTGGAATTTGCTAGATTTGTTCTGGCCCCTTTTTGCTTACAGGAGATTTCAATGATTGTATTGCTGGATCCTTTCTCAGGTCCATCCGTAGACTGCATAGACTCAACAGCCTATACTCTTGTCTTCCCTTAAGTGCATGGTAAAAGCTGTCTTAAGGTCTGAGCCTCACCTTCTTCATATGTAAAATGGGGGTAATAATAGTGTATTTGTAATAATATTGTTATGATAATTAAGTGAGCTAACACTTAATTCAGTATACTGAATTAAGTATATAACACTATAACTCAGTACAATAATGTATTATTCCAGGTAGTTGTTCACTGTTTTTCCTGCTATCTTTTTGTGTATTCGTATTTTGACACTCTTATTCAGTACCTTTTAGCACTTTGGACTCTATTTTGTAACAATGTTTACATATCCTATGAGGGCTGGGGTTTCTCCTAATGAGTACAGATCATTAAAAGTTTTGTGTGCTGAGACAGCGTACTGAGTACTTAAAAGTTTGCTTGTTGAAAGCACAGATAAAGGAAATTCCCAATCAAGTTTTGGTGAAAGACCGCGACAGACTGGGGTCTAAGCGACTCTCTGCTCTATTTCTTCTCTCTTCCCAGCCATCATCCATGGAAAGTCAAGATTAGCCTCCTGGATGGATTTGTGAGAAGTAGAGCCTCTCCTCCAAACCAGAGAAGCCACTGTGTACCAGCTTGTCCTATTAGCATACCACGTGCCCAGGAGTAAACAGGCAATGGTGGGACCACAGACAGATTAACCCATCACCTAAGGTAAGGCAACTGAGCTGGAAAAACCAGAGGTCTATTTAATTTCCTGGTTACTTTTATAGTGATTGAAACAAAAAGCTATTTATTTATTTATTATTTAAGAGACAGGGTCTCATTCTGTCACCCAGGCTGGAGTACAGTGGCACAATCATAGCTGCCTGCAACTTTGAACTCTTGGGGCTCAAGCAGTCCTCCTGCCTCAGCCCTCCAAGTAGCTAGGACTACAAATGGGTGCCACCATGCCTGGCTAATTTCAAAAAAACATTAAAAACATAAAATAAAATGATATGCTTGGGAATGTGAAGAGTGTGTGTGGGTTAAAAAATGAATATTTCTTCCAGTGAACAGCAATTTAATAAAACTGAAAATTCGGACATTTTCTTGCTAGTATGGTTGATAGCTGTCTGGTTCATCCAAATGATTGGTTACAGACTGCTTGAAGTGAGAATCCCAAATGAGGTATAAGCAGTGAGCGAATTTTTGCAGAGTGGTGCTGAGTGTCTTAGAGTGCAGTGCTGATGAGGCATCATGGGCTTAGTCACTAGCTGAGGTCCTCGATACCTCAGGTGGTGCAGTCCCAGGACCCAGGGGTTCAACATAAAGCAAAAAGCACTTTGAATGGGTTGGGGCAGGTGCTGGTAATGAAAGAGAGTGCCTCTCTTCATTGTATCATGAGTTCTATGACAAGATTTTCACCAACCATGTAAGATTGATATGAATATTAAATGAGATAATACAATATGCTCAGCTGGAAGGAAAGATAAAGGCTTCTCTGTATTATGTATCTGTTCTTTTGTAAAGTCTGGTCACCATAATACAGGGAAATCCTTACCTTCTTTTCTGGTTGAACATCTCATATGTTAGTTAATCCTCATATCAATTTCACACAGTGATATTATTTCTAGGACACAAAGAGAAACTGAGGCACAGTATTTCAATAAGTTGGCCAAAGTCATACAAGCACTCCGTGAAAGAGCTGACGTTTGTGTAAGTTCTGTCTAATGCTAACAGTGATACCTTTCACTCTGTGATAGCCACATTGTGATACCTTCCATTCCTTTGCCCTTTCCTGTCTTCCAGTTTAGCTCTTGGCTGCTTTGCTCATGCTGTAACCTGCTCCCTATGCCTAAAAGGCCCTTTCACTTCCTCTTCTCTCAACATGTTCTCAACAAGAAAACATGCCAGCTTTCTCGTAAGAGGGATAATCTCTCCTAGCACCATTGTACTACCTGCTTTCCACATACCAGTGACTCCCCATAATCTTTGGGGAGGACATTTAAATTTTTGAACATTCATGGCCCTTTAATTTTGACTTCAGGTTGCACTTTTTAGTGTTCTTTTCCAATGGACTGCCTCATAACCTGTAACCTGTGCAACATCAGCATCCAATCACTGTAAAGTGCGCAAATGTCCCCATGTTTTTTCTGGTCTATATCTATGGTGGCCCTGATGTTGGTTTAATTCCCAGAGGGTCTTTTACAACCCCTTTTAGGAAGCCTTCATTGACAACCTCAGGCTAGGTTTATGCTATTTCTTTATGTTCCCCAACACTGCATATTTTACTCTGTCAAAGGATTTTTTGATTCTCTAGTGAATTTTTCAATTTACTCATCTAATTTTCCAGTTATATTGCAAATAATGAAAGCAGGAGCTATAACCAACTCAGTTTGTTACCCACAGTGCTTAGCATAGGAACAGGCTAATAATAGGAATGTAGTAAATGCTTAAAAATAATGTGACTTGAGCCAGGCACGGTGGCTCACGCCTGTAATCCCAGCACTTTGGGAGGCCGAGGCGGGCGGATCATGAGGTCAGGAGATCGAGACTATCCTGGCTAACACAGTGAAACCCCATCTCTACTAAAAATACAAAAATTAGCCGGGCATGGTGGCGGGTGCCTGTAGTCCCAGCTACTCGGGAGGCTGAAGCAGGAGAATGATGTGAACCCAGGAGGCGGAGGTTGCAGTGAGCTGAGATCCAGCCACTGTACTTCAGCCTGGGCGACAGAGCAAGACTCTGTCTCAAAAAAAAAAAGTGACTTGAATATACTAATTTATTTAACAAAATGTAGAACGACCTATGATGTGCAAAGCCCTATGTTAGACTTTTAAGAATGCTGAAACCAAAAATATAGTCACTGCTCTTAAGTGACTCACAGATAGCAGAGAACCTGATATTTGAATGGATATTTGGGGCAATGTCCCATGGGTTAATGTAAGAGAATGTTGCTGTTGTGGAACTCAGAGGAAAATGCCTAGGAAATGAAGAAACCTTTTTCTCTTTAGTTTAGAGGACATTCCATTCCATAGTCCTGAAGAGCCTCTTTTGTGCTTAGATGGAAATTAACAGGTGTTTGATATCAGGAAATAACCTGGTGTTTGATATTATTAGTTCTCGCACTAATCTTAAGTACAAGTCTTGGTATATGATCTTGGGCAAATTATTTACTCTTTCTGTGCCACAGATTCCTCATTTGTACAACAGGAGTAATACACTGCCAGGACCATCAGGTCCATCAAGCAGGGCAGGGACTACGAGTTATGCTGCTGGCCTGTCTTTCTCTGGGTCTTCAGTTGGAATGTGACTGGCCTATGCTGATTTTGTGCTTAAATTCTGTATTTATTACAAGAAGAATCTTTTTTTAAGCTGTACATTTATAAAAACTGATCATATACTGTGTATACAAAAATCTCAAGATGGTAGAGTCATGTATGAATGTACTAAGTAGTACTAAGTATTCCACTGTGCTTATTGGTAATGTAGGTTTTATTACAAAATTCACACTAGGTACTTACAAATGTAGCCTGCTTCTTTCCAACTATGAAAACAGTGTCACTACTTTCTAGTTCAGTCTCTGCAGACCCTTCTCAACGCTTTTCCTATAGGTAATTTTCTTCTGCATCCTTCCTCCTACCTCCTACATAAAAAAAGAAATCAGTGAACCCAAAATAAATATGGATAATAAATGTATATGCCTACCACATAGGATTGTTGTGAGGATGAAATGTGGATGTCTTGATATCTTAGGATGATATCTTGCATTCAATAAATGCTAGCATTATCAGTCTTTTCATTACAATTATTATTATTGTCCTCAGCAAACCAGCCAACTCCATAATTCTGGGATAGGCCTTTTCAATGACATGAAAATACGGAGTAGCAGCTCCAGCCCTATATTTATGTTCACGCTTGTGCCATAGAGATTTGTGAGGGGGACACACAAAGTGAGAAAGAGATATGGATTCTGTTTGGATTCACTGGGAGAACATGCATTTTTTAAGAGCTGGAAACTTAGAACATAAAAAACGAAGATATCCTAGAATTTGTTGCTCAAGGTTCTGAAGAGACTTCTTAAATTTTGAGAGCTGGAAAGAGGAGGAAACATTTATTCTTTGCAACCTAATAGCAGGAGAACTGTCATGCTACAATTCACCTTTCTCAACTAGATGAGAAAAACAGGCTCGAATGCTCTCCAATGCCTGAAATGTTTAGTGAGAGATGTGAAACTGGTAGAGTCCCCTGGTCCCTGTTTGTAACCTCATTATGCTTTCTCCTGGAATGCTCTGAATTCCTCTTGCACTCACGGAGATTGGTGGATACTGCCTTGGCTCATCACAGCCAGTTCCAGCACACATCTCCCTCTGGGACTTTTCACCAGCTCCTGAACAAATGGCACATCCCAGCTGCAACCTCTTCTTCCATTCTCCCCTGACTCCACATTCAAGTCTTGAAAATTACATTTTCTACTCTTCAATCAACTCCCAAATGTAGACTTCCTCTACCTTTTGCTTTATATCTCCCAAGGTTGCGAATGTATTTCATTCCAGCACTGAAGCAATTTAAAATAACTAGCATATCTTGCCTGGAGAGAGAGGGCTCTTGGTAGCGATCTCCCTGTGGTCTATCCTACTATTTCTAGTTTCTTCTTGATTTAGAGTCTGTCACTGTGAATGGGGACCCATTGTTCTCAGGAAGAAACCTGATATTCTCAAGTAGCCCTCGACACCTTAACTGGCTGCCTCCCTTTTCTTTCTCTGTTCTCGCCCACAGCCTCTGAGGACTAACCTCACACATTTCCCCCATGCTACTTGGCCTAAGACTTGCTTTGTTCCTCCATGCTGGCCTCCCCCAACCCCCTCCTGGTAACCTCAAGATGTAAAATGCTATAGTATCTCTGGCTTAGACTCCTTATCTGGCCCCAGATTCTTTCCTTCTCCCTCTAAGACATTGAAGAAGAAGAAGTAATGTTCATTTATAATGCCTAACTTCTCTAACTTTTCCTTCCAGTCTCCTTCAGATGACATTTTCGCTCATGCTGCCTTAAAAATGAAATGTCCTTTTCTCAATTGCCCTAGGAGATGTGGCATTTCCCCAGAATTAGTTGGGATTAGATCCTTAGGTTGTTGCATTGGATGAGAAATAGTTTTAACAAAGTTGGTGATGGGTTGTATATCAAAACAGAGAGAAGTGGGAGGCACTCGCTGCTTTGGAGACAGCATCCTCCTTCCACAATGGAATTTTTGGCAAGATCTTCAAGTTCTTGAGTTTCTTTTTCTCTTTCCTTCTCAGAACTGCAGGAAAGAGTAATTTTGTATTATTTAGGCTTCTTACCACCACCACTTTATTGTCCTACATGCTTTGTAACATGCTGTAGATGAAATCTGAATATCACACAAGGCTTCAGAATCAGGAAAATGTGTTCAATGACTATTCTGTTTTCTCTCACCCAGATATTAAACCATGTTATTAATAGTATCTTCAATTGGGTGTGCTTTAATATATTTCCAGAACACTTTCAGGCACATTCTTATTTAACTTCAAAAATTGGTTTACCTACTTTCTGTCCAGGGGTTGTCTTCTGATTAAGTGGCTACAATGTGGTCAGAGGGATATATACCTTCACCTACCAATGTGAAAAATCAAAACCAACAGACACTAAAGACTTAGGTACACAATTGTTTTTGGACCAAGTACTATGAATATGAACCCAAATAGACCTAGTT